AGTCAAGGAGGCCCATGATGCAGGTAAGTTTGGAGAGGAGAAAAATGTGTGGCTGAAGCTCTTTGGCAGAGTGTTTGCCAAGGCTATGTGAGGCCCTGGGTTCAGTCTCAGCATCACAAACTTTCCAGGCTGAAACAACACACACCAAAAACTCCAGTAAAAGCAGATTCCACCCCCATCTGTGTAAAGTTTAAAACAATGGAAGCAACTTTAAAGCTTTCAAAGACTTTAAAAATGAGGAGAGAGAAAGAAGGTGAGCAAACACAAATCACATACGGCTTTCTCGGCTTGAGAAACCAACGTGGCTACAGAGTTCTCAAAAGCAATCTAGAAGCTACCAAGTGGAGGCAGAGTTGCAAGAGAACACGATTTTTTACAACCTGGTAGCCTTTACCTAAACAAAGAATCAACTGAGTGCAAGGTAAGCTGACACCATTTAAAAATAGCAAGTAAATCAAGAATGAAGTTAACACCGGCTGTGGAAAACGAAGACGGACCACTGGGGAAAATTAAAAAGGGAGTCCTAGAGTAACAGAGGAGTGGAAGCCCAAGTGACGGTCCAGAAGAGAGGCCGGAGTGATACTAGGCTTCCTCGAAAATTAATCTTATTAACTAATTAATATGCTGAGGTTGATGAAGAGGCGGGTGACACCGAACATCAGTGATAACGGAGAGGAACCTGAATACAGGGCGTGGTGGGAACCAAGCCCAATGTTCTAAGTGGCTCTCTAGTCCCCACTCACCGAAGTGCAAGCACAGAAAGGGCTCTATCAAGGTGGGGATCGGGATAAGTAACCTGGAGAAAAGAGACGGAGCTGATAAAGGAATTCGGGGGTTGGGGGGGATGACCCACCCCTTTCAATATACTAAAGAGCCAGGGGAACAGGGAGAGGAGCAAGGCAGCCACAGGACACGGTACTGTGGGTGGACAGAAAAAGGCATACTCTTACAAGACTTATGAATATTCAAGGGTGACATAATCATAACTACTGGGAGAAAGGAATATTGGAACAAGGGCAACCAGCAGGGCAAATCCATTTCATCCAAGCGATTTAAAAACACAAGCAAAGACCAAGTGAGGACTGTTTTACTACTATAAACTCTTAGGAGCACAGTGAGTAAAGTTCTGAGAGTTTTCTAAGTTTATTTAATTTACGCAACAATTCTGTGAGAAACGCTATTGCCTTCATTGTTTTCAAATGAGGAAACTGAGGCAAAAGCAAATGAAAAAGCCCAAAGTCACATGAAAGGAGCTGAGGACAGAGAGAAGCTGAGAGTTACTCCTGCTGCCCGTCCAGTAGAAAGACTGGCTTGTCAAAGCGGAATCATCTACAAGAAATTAGAGGGATTCTAGAAAGAAAACCTGGGAAGGAAGAAGGTAGCACGTACAGACTTTGATTCTTTAAATTGTGCATGTAAAAAAATAAATATTTCAAGTCGGGTGTGGTGGCGCACACCTCTAGCCCCAGCACTGGGAAGGCAGAAGCAGACTGAGGTCTCCGAGTTCAAGGCCAGCCAGGGCTACAGAGAGAGACCTGTCTCAAAACAAAAACCCTTTAAAAGACATTTGCATTTAAAAGTATTTTTGCTTTACTTTAACCCATGCATCCCACCATTCTCAGTAGGTAAGTAAGACAAGTATTATTCCTTCTTTTGCAAGAAAACACTCCATTCCAGGCTGGAGATGACTCTCTCCGTATAGTGCTTGCTACGTATACATAGCGCGTGAACCGGAGTTTGGACCCCAGGACCCACATAAAAGCCTGATGCAGAGGCACCGGCTTCTCCTCTCAGTGCTCAGAAGTGGAGACAAGTGCATCCCTAAAGCTCACTGGCTATCCAGTCCAGCCAATAGAGTGAGCTCCAATTCAGTGAGATCCTGTCTCAAAAAATAAGGTGGGCACAACTGAGGAAGACACCTGAAACTAACCTCTGACGTCCATATTCACATGCACACATGCAACACACAAAAATAAACAGGAGAGCAGAAATCATGTAATACTTGAGGACTTACTGCAAAATAGACACTCTTTAGAAGGTTAAGGCCATATCACCTTAAGGAGCAGGAAGCTAACCAAGTCATATTGCTATTTCAATTTGTTACAGAAATTATAGCACCTGCATCTCTAACTGTGTGCTTAAGATGACAGAATGAACTGCGTCATGATAGGAAAACAGAAAAAGATCTGCTCACAAAGCTTGTTAAAAAATATATTTAGTTCCTCCCCTTGTGGGAAAGACTGGTAAACATAATTATCACCAAATATACAGTACTTAAATAGAGGGACAGTAAGCCGTGCTAAGGAAACACCCCCTGGGGAAGAAAAATCTTTCAGAGGGAACATCTGAGCTTTGCCTAAAAACAAGAGACTAGAAATTCACATAACACTTTGATAACCAGCACAAAACATTACAGTAAATAACTTTATGTTCCCATTCCTGTAAAGGTTAAGTTCACATTAAAGGCTAAGACATCGAGATCTTTATAATAAAAATGATCTATAAAAAAGGAAGTCATATAATCTTAATACCTCGGTCCTAATTCTTATGTTTATTTATACGTAATGTTTATCATCTCTCAGTTTTACAGACAACAAGAGGGCAAGCGAGAGCACTCTCCCCAGTACTAAGCAGGCATTGAGATCTAAAGAGTGGCGGTACTACCGCAGTATATACGCAAGGGTCATCTCTTCTGCCACCAAAAAGTTTATGCTAACATACTTCCTGGGTCATAAAATTAAATGAGGACACAACCCTTTCTTCCAGAGGAGATGGATGGTGACAAAGCCTGGAAGAGGCAAGGACAGAGGCTGGCATGAAGAAAGGTATCCCAATTACCTCCCAGAGGCATATTTCAACCATTTTTCTAAACCAAACCACATTGAGATTAAAAACAAAAAACAAAACAAAAAAGCCCTGCAATAAAACACAATTAAAGCAGACCTCACTGACTGGTCTTGCATGTGCCTTAGTAGCAGACTCAGACCTCAGTGAAACTGAAGGAGACCTGGAAAAAAGTGTGTCCAGTTTTGATGACTCAACAGTGACGTCAATTAACACAAGTTTCTAGGGTAAAGTTCAAATGCAATCTGAAGATAACTTATGATAATAATGGAGAGAACTATTTTATATTCATTCTTGTGCTTTCCCGGAACGTAACTCTCCATCACGGGCGCCTGGTCTACCTTTATCAGTTACTCTGTCTATAAGGAAAAACGGCTCTGCAGCATCTCCACCTGGGATGACTACTCTGAGCTAGCGCAGGCAGCAGCCTGACTTAACTGTGTGACAGCCAGCCTTTCAAGGGCCTGCCATCCTCCCTGCTGAGAGGAGGAAAAACAAAGAAAGTCCTCCCAGGAGCCCACAAACAGTAATTAAGAAAACCTTCACGGGTTGGTAATCAGTGTGTGGTTTTCATTTCTGGCACCTGTCTTTCACTGTTCTTAAGTCAGCATCTACAGTGTACATTATTTAGTCAGAACTTCACTCAGTTCATACCCTTTTGATTTAGGAAACAAAAATTAGGGTAAATAATTCCTTAAATTTAAAGTACGGGTGAGGATCAGAATGATAAAGACAAAATTAAAGGCTGAACAATAATTATAATTGGACTATTACAGAAAACTACCTCTTAGAAATCCATCTTGTGAGGTAGTTTTGTACAAGGATTAAGAACTACTTCTGGTAACAAAATTTAAATGTATGACTATCAGAAAAGCAAAAACCCTGAAAAAGTATTTTCGCATGTTTCAGTATCATAACCTTTTATCTTTTAAACTCAGGGGGAAAAAATCATGAAAATTTCACTGAAACAATTGGCCTTGTTTTCTTTTTATAAAATTCTTTTGCAATATTCTCAGTTTTCCCAAAATAAACCCACAAATACACATATAAACACTTCAATTGGAATAATTAAAATGTCAAAAATCTCCAAAAGATACTAAAATAGTTAAGTATCTTAATGTTTTTTCAAAATTCCAGTGGGGGAAAAAAAAAGTCTTTTTACAACTCCTATACTTCTGATCGCTGTAAATACTGGCAAATGTGCAAAAAGAACATTCCTCTAAGTAACAAAACAAAAAACCCTTAATCTTAAAGCAATGTAGAACCAGCTTTTCTAGCCAGCCTCATTCACTAGGTGTGATCAGCATATTATCGCCAATATAAATGGAAAAGAAAATGCTGGCTTAGTGTTGACTTAACTTTTAGACTTTCTGTATTTTGGCGAGAGTAGAAACAGGTGGGACAGATTGGCCTGTTAAAATCAGCCCTTTAAGACTGATTTCACGCCTTAAAATGGCTACCACCTTCATCTCCTAGCAAAAGAAAAACTCTACAGCATTACTCACTACCAAGCATAAATCCTGGTATCTTGCCCTTGAAACACAGGCTGTTGGACTTGGATTCCTCTTTTGTTCAAATAAAGTAACCGTTACATTAAGTTTACAAGAGCTGGTTACTAACAGCATGAGGGCAACCTATATCACCCAGATTAGGTCATCTTTCCCACAGTGCCTTGGGAGGACAAGCAGGTAACAGGATCTTTCACAGCCTAAGATCAAACATCCCAGAACAGAAAAGGGCTGTAGGGCAGGAACAAACGTGGGAACCACAACACCCGGCAAAAAAGGATCATAAAGATTTTAGGAGCTCAAGAGAAATGCTTAACGCTTTCGTGGAGTAACAAAATGTAGGCTGCTTTTCATAAATTATCTTTTCAAAAGCATTTCATGAATAATAAAATCTACCTGACGGCCCCAAGCCTATTTGTAACATACTTACACACTGTAGCTATCGTGAACACTATTTTCATAATCTACCCTAGTCCCCACCTAATCTGGAGCCATTCCTTAACACTCTGACTCTAGAGAACTACCATGCATATGCACTTTTCCCATGCAAACCCAAAGGTCTGGTGCTTTAGACTAATGGTACCCACACACTGCCCCTATAGAGATTGACTCTGAACTGCTAGGTTCTGCAGCAGCCCGTGATCTTACCTCTCGTCTTCGCCATCCACCAGGGGTGTTGTCAGCGGTAGCACCTTCAACGGGAAGAGAGAAGCAGAGGCTGCTAGGCTGCTGCTACTCCCATCTGAAACTGCTGACATTCCCCCACTGTCACCACTGAGAGTCTGAGGTAAGCCGACTACCGAGGGCTCCGCTGGGCGCCTGGCATCTTCCGTTTGGCTTCCGATTGCCTGAGCTAATGATTGTGTAGAGAACTGAGTAGAACTTAGTGGTATCTGCTGTGCCAGAGGCAAATTTATGTTAGTGGCTATCAAGGGAGATTGACTAACACTCTGAACCAAATTGCCATTTTGGGTAGCCGGGGGTTGTGCTATATTCTGTGGGGGAACTAAGTTTGTCGGGGCGGAAGGCATTCCAGAAGGAGCAGCTGAACTAACCTGATTTGGAACAGAAATACTACTAGCGGAGGGCAAAGGACTACCTGCGGGCAACTGCTGGGAAACAACGCCTGGAGCCACCGTTTCTACTCCCTGCGGCTGGGGAGGCACAGTTAACAAGGTACTCTGGGGGGCGATAACCAATTGTGGAGGAAGGCCTGAAGCACTAGTTTGAACTCCCTGATGAATGATCCCAGTCGGAGCAGGTAGGACTACTTGTGAAGATGGAGGAGCACCTTGCTGGATCACTGAAGGTGTAACTTGGGTGGATGGCTGCTGTGCTGCCGTGGGCATGTTGGCCTGGGGACCAAGATTTGCAATTTGACCGCCAGCTGGGACAGTCGGCACTGCTGTTTGAGCCTGGCCAATGGGCTGCCCAGATGCCCCTGCAGGTTGTGCTTGTACTGCTGTGGGCTGCACTGGCAGCTGGAGCCCCTGTGGCTGGGCCGCAGGAATCATGGATGGTCCTGCTCCCGATCCTGCGGAACTGGCCTGTCCAGAGGACATCGCTGCTTGAAGAATTGGCTGCTGCTGTCCGTATTCTGACGTCGGGTTTTGAGTCATCGACTGGCCATGGCCTGGAGCTAGCTGTGTAGAAACCATTGGTTGCTGTTGCCCATACGGTAACTGTTGGGGTGGCGGCCCTGGAAGAGGAGTTTGCACTGGAGGAGCTGTCTGAGGGTACGGCAGTTGGGGTTGAGCCAAGCTGGAAATGGAGGGCTGCTGACCTCCAGCTGCCGTTACACCGACCACGTTTACAGTCGAAGGCTGGATACCGGCGGCTGCACTCCTAGCGGCTTGCAGAGGTACAGGTTGAAGACCTGGCTTCTGCTGAAAGCTCAATTCTTGAGGCTGTAATTGGACTTGTGACATCTGTGGCTGAGAAATACTCTGCGGTATACTAGCTGCTGCAATACTCTGCGGCCCGGGGCTACTGAAATCCATCTGCTGGAGGGCCACACCTGGAAGAACTGGCGGTGGTGGTGGTGGCAGCTGAGGCTGCTGCACCACCACAGCAGGGGCTCCCATCTCGCCACTTCCCACACTCTCCGTGTAGTGGCTCAGTGTGCTGACACTACTGCTCACCGAACTCCCACTAGTGCTCTCCCTCTCCGAAGACACTTCCGTGGGGGCTTGCTTCACGGTCTCCACCACTTTATTTATGGCCACGCCTTCTGCGGCCGGCAGGACGTTCTCTTTTTCATAGAACTCAGTGCAAGTCCATCTACCTTTTTTGAAGGGTTCAGAAGTAGAGTCTAACTTCACAACTCTGAACCTTGACGTGTTAACTGTTGGTTGCTGCTGCTGCTGCTGCTGCGGACTTGAAACCACTCCCACAGTGATACCTGCAGCTGCATTAAGGACACTGTTAGCAACAGGAGAGGAAGAGACAGTACCATTGCCCATGCCACTCAAGGCATTCACATTAACACCACTGCCAACTCCAGGCCCAACACTTACACTAGCAGCATTAGGAATATTGCTTGTACTAATATTAGCATTACCATGCACGCCACTTGTCACGTGAGCACTGAAACCACCCGCAGCAGCAGCAACGCTAACATTATTCGTCACATTCGTGCCAGGCACAGAATTTATACCTATGCTGCCTGCAGTACTTGGGGCACGGAGGTTCGGCATCCCGGAAGCAGGTAAGCCGCTCGATGATATAGCAGAAGCAACTGGCACAGCGCCATCAGAACTTCCAGTTGTAGAGAGTTTTCGGGACACTGGGCTCGAGGGTGGCCCTCCAGGAATGGACGGAGTGGCCACAGCAGCATGGGATGAATGGTGGTGTCCGTGGAGAAGGTGGTGCCCGTGATGAAGGTGATGGTGGTGATGGAGGTGGTGGGGATGAGCGTTCCCATTGATCACAACGTTCTGTGGTGGGAGGTGAGGCAAATGAGGCTGAGGAAGGTGGGGCTGGTTAGGAGAGACTGCCCCAGGTGTTTCGGCTTCCTGGAAGTTATTCAGAGTCTCTTCTGAGGAGCTGCGTTCAGGCTCGCCTAAGTCAGTGGCCCTGGAAAGAGACACGTCAAGGATCTCGGAAGAAGACAGGTCTTCCGTGTGAGACTCATCCAGATCGTCGTAGCTCTCGGTGTCCTCTGCTATGCTGTTGTTCGAGCTGATGCTGGCAGAGATCTGGGCCGGAGTAACGCTAGTTATCTGGAAGCCACTTTTCTTTTTCATCTGAGTTCCGCCCGGCGCAAGAGGCTGTGCCTGCAGCGGAGCCTGCGAGAGGAGGTTCAGGCTTTGTGGAGGCGGAGGCTGAGGTCCCTGCGTGGAAGATGCAGCAGGAGGCGGCGGCTGGAGCAGCGAAGGAGGAGGGAAATCCTCCGAAGATGGAGCAGCACCACTGACGACGGTACCTGCTGCACTGAGCGCAGAGGCGCTGCCGCCACTGCTGCCCCTTCGAGGGAACATCGCCGGGTGCGCCATCTTCCTAGCACTAATGTCTGCGGCGGCGGCGGCCGCGGCAGTGGACTCCGGCGGCTGGTGCATTGTGCTGGGTACCGGGGGGCGGAGGAGGCGAGTGCAATTTCCTTCTGCACCGTAATCTTTGTATGGAGAAGCTAGAGAGGAGAACAGGACCTGAAGCTCCGCCCGACGCGATTCCTCCTCCTCCTCCTCCTCCTCCTTGGCCGAAGAAGCCGGCTGCTCCTGCCTTCGAGGGCTAGCTTCGGGAAGGGAGGATGAACCGGGTGAACCAGGTGGCTGGGGAACCGAAGGGGGACCCCTTCAGTCCTTCGCCATTCACTTTCCCCTCCAGTCACACACCCCCCTTTATATTCCGCTTCACGTGGGGTGCGGGGCGGGAGGAGGGAGGG